TATACTCTCAAAGCTTGCCATTATTGCGGCACCAAATTGAGGGAGTCAGCCCACGTGGCGACCAGACTGCTTCGAATCGTTGAAGCTACTACGTAGATTGAGAGCTCATGCCATCAACACACCATGCCGACTCCAGCCTCGGCCGCATCACCACAATTCACACGTCTAGCAAACATTTGGAAACTATTGTCCCTGCGCAGCGACGTCGATAATATAATATTGGAACTGGTGGGGCAGTTTTCCCTCGAAAAAGTATATTCTGATGGCGATAAGGAAACCTATCAAAACCTGGTAATAACTCTATTTGCTCAACTCAACGCCATTTTTTATCTTCAACGCCTTTCTATCCCATCTGCGAAGCTTCAAAAAGATGGATGGTATTTTGGATTTCTGGCCAGCTGGGAGGTGACTCTGCGGATGATCGAATTTGTCTTGCACATCGTTATCGAAGGTCGAGAGAGTTTATGGGAGTCGCGACAATTGAGAGACAAGTACCTGGCCGAGCTGTTATTATCTGCGCTTCGTGTCCTCCAGCTATTGCCACAACCACCATCCGATGGACAATCTCAATCGAAAATCGAATTGCAGAGAAAGATTCGTCGAGATAGATTTGGGCGCATTCATCGTTCACTGGAACATATGTTCGACAGTTATCCAGGACCGAAATCATTTTTGTTGTTGGTTTGCAAAGAAATAACTGAATCATTGCGGGGTTCCGAGCCTAATCCACTAGCTTTACCCTCTAAATTAAGGGATGAACTACCAAATTTAGCAGAAGAATTGGTAAGAGCCACTATATTAACGTCTTACTTATGGGGCTCCGCTAGGCCTAAGCTTTCTACGTACCCTTCTAGAACCTTTTGATCAAAATCTACGAATCTAAACTGACTGACACACTTCTTCATCTACAGTATCCATTGAACGATTGCTTCTCGACAAAATATATATCTACTCTTATACTTGCAGATGGTTCAGAAGGAGGAGGTGGTGGTGGAGGAGGTAGTGGGGGAGGTGGATGGCTCGCACAATTCCTTGCACTTCGAGACGTTACGCAATTCGTCGTCGCAGCTTCGATTCAATATACGATAAATGGAGAAACCCGCGATGCATATCTTCCAGCTGCATCAGAACGAACGAGGAATGCGGTTTTAAGAGCGATTGAGAGTATGCGAATACCGACACGATTCTCTAAAGAAGATTTGGTCGGTACTTTTACTGATCAATATCGAATCATCCTTCCAGATACACCAGATTTGAGGAGACAGTCGATGCAGATAGAAATAGATGATAAGGAATTGGATGCAATAGATGCACTATGTCTACGACTCAATGATCGTCAAATCATAAGTCGTGTGAGTGATAGGGAGATGATGCATACTATATCTGAAATTACGAAAAGGATTCTTGCTCTTGATGATCCAAGCCGGCATGCCAAATCGTCAAGACCGAGAATATATACGCTCAATTGCTCAAAATGTCATTTAGCTGGTGCCTCACAGATGAGATACCTAGAGAATCTGAAATTTCCGGTACGCCAAGTATTTTACTAGAATTTAACTTCTGACATAATTATTTGGGGGAGGTTCCGAGCAATAGTCTGAATGTGGACTGACGCTAATGGAATAGCATGCTGACGATGATCTCTATGCTCAGTTGGAGAACCCAGATATAAATGAAGTTAGACTACCATCAAAGACAAAATGCGTTCAATGCGAAGAACCAGTTACAATAATGCGTGAGATGGCGCTTGCAAGGCAAGTTTGGGATCTTCTTGAACCCTTTGAATCTCATGCAGATGCTATGCATTTGGAACAATATGTTCCAACATACTTCCAGCTTCCACCGCCGAAAATGGATGGAGCAATCCCCTATCATCCAGCCTACGGTAATTCAAGTGCAAGCAATGTGAAGATGCGCACATATGACACTGAACCACCTTCACCCTTTCACAACAAGACAACTTTTATCTCTGCAGCTGCTCAAGATCGCTCTAGGTCTCTACCTCATACAATTCCGTCTCAAGTATCGCCTACTATTGGTACTTTCAGCCAAAGGCTAGACACCCCTATTACCCTACCTTCTTCCTCTTCTGACTTGGTGTCACTGGATGGTTCGAGGTCAGGTGAAACCTCGAGAATACCAGAGCTTCGAAAAAATTCTACTACTACCGACGAGACGCCATTTTCTCCAGATTCTATTGGCAATACTTCACCGAATGACCATACCCCATATGGAATGAGCTCTGAAGGCGGGACTTATTTTGTGAACCGACCAACAATGGGTCAGAGCCATTCTGATAGAAAAAAGTCAAAAGGTGGATCCAAATGGACATCGGTTTTCACTGGAACGCGAAAGGAGTCTATTCCAGGACAGTCCGTCGAAACCACATCACTCTCCTCATCAGCACTGGAGGCTCAAAGACTGGACGAAATAAACTTAGAAAGCTTAGTTCGAGTCCCAAGAAAGACTTCGAAAAGCAAAAGCGCCAAAGCAATCAATATTTCTTTATCACAAAACTCAACGAATGGTCTGTTCTGGACTCAATCTTTAATACAAATTTGGGATATGGGAGCATCCCCTCCCGCGATGACCCGTGTATTCCCAACGGAGAGTAGCTGTTATAAGGCATCTGTAACCAAAATGTATTTAGCTTATATAATTGGCACCCGAGATCCAAAGCTCACGGTATGTTCTTTCGGTCAATAACACTTTCCTAACAATTTACCTATTTAATAACACTTAATTAGCTTAGAATAGTTAACTTGCAAAAATCAGCTCCGGTTGTAGAGTATCCTTTACCCCCAAATCTTTGGGCAAGCAGCATAGCCATATCCCCCAACGAAAGCACAGTCGCAGTAGGCTTTACAAACGCAACGGTCTACTTTTTCAAAACCACCCAATCATCCGAACCTAGAGAGGATAGACTTCATAGTCGCATTCACAGTGAATGCGAAGACTGTCCGGAGGTAGAAACCCTCTCCTACTCTGATGATGGGATGCATCTTCTAGCCAGTACCCGAAGTGCCAAGAGTGGAGCCATCCAAATATATTTTTGGATGACTCCAATGCAATCGTCTCAAGAAATAGTCTCTTGTAGATATCATGTTCCGTTACATGAGTCAGAAGATCGAGGCCTCTCGTCCGCTATTTTTCGCTCAAGAACGGGTATTGAAGAAGTTCTGGTGTGTATAACGACCTGGACACAATCCGGTGTTCCAGTCCTCGTCCATCCTAAAACAGGTCAAAAAACAGATATCAGAACCGCGCCTAACCGATCTGGAAAGTTGGGAAGTCGTATTCAATGCGCTAGTTTCTCTCCATCTGGAAAAGAATTAGCTATGGTTAACGAAAAGGGGCATTTGTATCTGATTTCGGCTTTGAATTCTAGTCCGTTGGACATCAGAAAAATAGCAGTTTCAAGAGAACTTACTATTAAATCTGATTCATTCGCAATGGCGTTCATGTCATTGCCGGATGAGGAGGCCGCGATTGTTATGGCATGGATTGATCCTTCGAAGGCGGAAAGGGGAGTGGTTAGAAAGATTCCTTTGACTGCTGTTAGTGTTATTTTCTGTTCCTTTTCCCTCAAGAGTTCTCGGGAGATCCATCCACTACGTCATCTTGAAAAGCTCTTTGATTTTTATCTTCGCTCCCAAAGTTATATGATACTAAAACATAACAGAACGATACCACTACCACATCACCCATCCTCCACAAATCAGAAGTAAACTCTGCAACCTCCGCACCCAATACATATATGTCGGGTGCAATAAATGAATTACCGGGAGACTCAAGACCAACTGAAATGGTGGCTGATGAGGAACCAATTACGAAATATAGGATGATGGGATTTGTTAAGTTTCCGAAAAAATAGAGGGAGAAGACATGGTAGAATTTGGAATGATTGGAATGAGAAAATATGAGAAGCGGTGATAAGGCATGACAGAAAATAGAAGAGGAAACGAAAGAAAGTGCAACGATGCTGATGGAAAGTGTTCAGGAGAATGTTAGTGGATAAACTGGAGCTTGTTAGATTGGTGAGTGGTTTTGTTGGTTTATTGGATATATCTTATGTTATACTTGAGTATCTAACGGCAAAATTAGGATATTATTCGGGTTCATGTATTAAATGAGACCCTTGGAGAACTTGAAAGGAAGATTGAGATTTAAAAGAGTGTATGTAGGAAGATGTTCAGACTTCAAATTCGAGAAAAAAGATAATAAATAAGCGCTTCAACATGATATTGTGATATCTGCGTACCTATCTATCTAGCTTTTGTCGGCTAAGGTGCGATGATACGATAAGCTGTGTAAGAATTTGAAAATTTTGAAATACTTTGTATAGAAATTCCTCAATATCTTCTTGCGATAGTGTTTGTTCCTTCTCTCCCCTCTCTCTATCTTTTGGATGTAGGATATTATGATATTTCTACTTTTTGATGCTTTACTTCATCCTCTGAAATTCCCGTCTCAAGCTTTATATTCATACCCAGATCACATACGCACTTCCTACTTCATTTCAATGTCGATAGGTAGGCAACCAAGAATAGAAAAGCTGAATAATTTCAAAATGAGATTAGGAGTTCTTAGAGAAAAGAGGTATGTAATATAATACATAGCACAGATATCGTACTACAACTATAACTACAACTAGCAGAAAAACGTGAAGATCCACCTCGCTTCCTTCATCTTGATTCTCTTCTCCCTTTGCTCGAATTGGAAATGGAAGTGAAAGTTACAATGAAAAGATTTACGACCTGGATTGTGCTTCTTTGTCCATAATATGTGGAACTCTTCTCGACGTGGTTAGATGGTATGAGATTATTCTATAAGCGCTCCACAGGATGAGTTTTGGATTCTTACGCTATACTATACAATCAATTTTTAGTAAATTAACCAAATCTTACCAAAAAAAGACGATCTACACAATCTCTCTTGATCTCCTCCCTCCCTCCGAACTCCCAGAACGCACATCCTCCACATCCCCATCCGATCCAACCCTACCCAAACAATACCACAGCCCCCACAAACAACCCCACCAACGCCAGCATCTCTCCCCTCCCCACTTCTTTCCTCCTCCCCATCCCCACCGCCCTGACCGGCGTCCCTGGTTTGACAGTCATCCCCGTCTCATACACACTCCACGTTACATTCCCAATACTATTTCTCGCATCTAATCCCCACTCTACAAATCCCACATACGTGTTACTCGAAATATATACTTCTCTCCAGAGATAATTGAGCAGGGGGGAGATATCCATTGCGGTGAGGGTGGTGGCGTTGACGGAAGGAAACCATGTGTATATTGTTTGTGGGACTTGCGGTTCATCGTTTACTATTGTGGAGGAATTCGAATTCGAAGGGGAAGAAGAAGTTGATGGGGAGGTTTGCGATACGTAGAGAGTATATGAGATTCCCGCAAGATTTATGACCGGTCTGGTGATTGTGGATGTGGTGTCGTTGTAACCTAGGGGAATTAAGCCTCCGTAGTTGGCTTGCCAGATGGAGATTTTGGTGGCGGAGAATCTTTTGTCGAGGGAGAGGGACGGTTCGAGATCGAGATAGATGTTAAGGTAGCAAGCTGCGATGACGGATGCGTTTAGTAGGGAATCGGGGGTGGTGGCGGAGATGGTGTGGAGAGGGTTGCCGGGGTAGAGAGCCCAGTTGTTGGTGAGGGGGAAGAGAGAGATGTTGGAGATGGCAATGGGGAGGATAGAGGGGAGATTGAGGGTTAGGGAGGGGAAGGAGGGCGGGGCCGGGATATCGGGGGAGGAGGACCAGGAAAAAGTGGTGTTGAATTGAGTTGTTGAACCTACGCTACCGCTATTTTCGTCGGCGAGGGAGAACTTGAAAAGGATGAGGTTAGTTTTTACCGTTCTCATCTCTTCTTGGAGAGGACAACTCACATCTGTACATTGATATCCACTTTTATCAGTTGTTGTGATATCTGGGAAAAATGTGTATCTTCCAGAATTCGTTGTTGCATTTGTGGAATCACATATTTGTGTGGTTTGTGCGTATATAGATGGTGTGAGGAAAGGGAAGAAGTAGATGATGAATTTGTGTTGAGGGCTGAGAAGCATTTCGCAAGGGATCCACGAAAAGAAAAGATTTAGGTTCAAAAGAGGAACTGGAAGATACAACGATTGAGTGAGTGGATTTTAGGAGATGAAATAAAAATTGACTTACACAATGGTTGTAAGAATTGCAATGAAAGACTTGGAAAGTCATGAGGACATGAATGCAGTAAGTTTTAGGTTTATTGGATAGTTATTGGTGATGAAAGACGGAAGCAGTACCTGCCTGTGACTGTCCGGCAGGAAGATGAAAATGAATATGTAAGAAGTTTGAGAAATTGAAGGTAAAAAATACTTAAACCAGATACTTCTCTTGACACAAGACAATAGGAAATAACAAAGACGACTCAACAGCCCAATTGAGCGAGAGTTAGATGAAGTCCCAGAAATCGACACTGGAGGATAGAAAATTGAGAGAACCAACCAACAAGACGATAATGAATTAACACTTTCCGTAGGTACCTTCAGTATAGCGAATTTCGGAACATGTTGACTTTTCAAAGGTCTACATTGTTGGCCAAGAATTCCTTCAATGTGGTGTATACTGCGCCTTGTAGATTATAACCGGAAGGTCCTCGCTTGAGGTCTATCCAACTCCAACAAAACGTCTGATCTAGGAGACCTACTTTGTTGGTTAACCTTATACTTATGTCTATCTGTTGGTAGTCGCCCCTCTCAAAGGACGGTTTTCATCACCGCACAGAGCGTATATTTGAGAAAGAACCACAAGAAAAGACAACCAAGATAATTGGTCAATGTCGAGGTCTCCAAGCTAAACATGTCAAACAATGTTATTCTGTGCAAATTGATTGAGAAGAGGTCTAGCCTCTAGGTCTCGTAGTCGGCCATCAAACACGCCCTCGTAAGCGCCGTCATTTGTTTTGAGAAATTCGTCAGCGTTTATGTCACCGGCAAAAGTTTTTCATCGCCTATGATATAGCGTCTTTTCAGCCCTTCATTATCTAGTCCCGTTCTACAAGCCGTGCCGCGTCCTCGGACTTTTCACCACGTTTCTGGGTACCGGTACCTGACTAACTACTTGGCATGAAATTCGAATCTTTTCTCTTAGTGAATTCATCTGATGTTCTTTTTTATCAGTTGCCGTGTACCTCATTAAGGTTCGGTGCCGAAATGATTTGTGATTTTATACAGATCTTTTAAGATATGCGTTGTTTCAGGGTTCTTGCTCATAGTAATAATTACTGAATCATGGCAACTTTACTCTGTGCCCGTATCAGATTGAAAGGTAATTGGGGTATTTTCCATGTAGTTCGTATACTTACAGTTCTGTGTTAAATGATTGTTGTTTATTATTGACAATCGTGAAGAAAGGGGGAGATGACTTATGGTGTCATTTGAGAAATGTTCTTCTTCTTATTCGTAGTATTACAATTTTCAGTCATGCGTTAATGTTGTCGCCCTGTGAATTGTGATGAGAAAATGATTTCCATCCCAAATTCAAAGTATGGCTAGTGCCTTTATCGAGCAGTAGGTTCTGACAACCACGTGATGATTCAATAGATCAATAGATTGCTCCAAGGAATGGCAAAATCATCTTCCTTGATTGGTTTCGGGATCATATTAATACTTCCCGGAGTTCCCTCTACGCCTAATAGACACCAGATTCGCCATCCTGAAATGAGGTTTGGCTGGAAGAATATTGATGTGATGCTTGTGATGATCGCTAAGGGTCGAGCATTTTTCATCCCACCAAATCTTGTTTTGACACATCCAACCGGTAACCAACTTACCCCTCACTTTGATATGAGGTTACAGTCTGTGAATGTCAACTTTGGTGTTGGCTTAAAGGTATTCAATGTTGCTTCTTGAGAGTTCGTGATTTCAATGGATCCTCGGGAAGTGCCAGATTGTATTTTACCTATTCCTCGCAAGCTCATAGGTTAGAGCGTGTTTTAGCTGGCGGTGATATACGCTAATTGTCTTGTTTGCAACTTGCTCTTTGAAGGCATGATTCCCAGGGAATCCATAGAGTGGAAACATCTCAATCTGATCACGACAACCGACCTACATTTCTGTACTGCCGAGGAGGCTAAGCCTGTAAGTGTGTGTACTGATAGAGTAGCCCAGGTCGTAAAATTGACCAAGAATCACAGTTTGTTAGCAAAGCCTTGTGAGTCGAGAATCCGACTAGACTGTTATGATTCGTTGAGACGGCGTTTTCCAAGCAAATAGAATCAACTTAATGCAGAACCGATGGAGGGAGAAACTTTTGACAGCAAGTTTATTGGAGCCTCCCTGCAGGATTGTCAAGAAGGGACAGCCGTTCAAGATCAATTTTGTCATGGAAAAATTGATCGCTCTTGTGGATGCTCGCAGCGTCAGTGACATCACTCACCGGATACGATACTCTTTCGGAGAAAACGACGATCGTGAGGAAACACTCCAATCGAGGAGAGAGTGACTACTTCTACATGATTACAGTCGATTATACAAGAGGTTCCGAGGTATTTGAAGATGTTTTTAATCAACAAAAGCGTGAAAATGAATGTGTGGAGACCAAGGTGGATGTCGATCTTTCTCTTCTGATTTGAGGCTACACCCTTTCTTTACCTTTGGAATTTAGCACTTTGCTTCTTTCATCTTATACTCATCAAAGCCGAGAAAACAACAAGAAAACGGCGATTTAGCTTCACTCTTTACTCGCGGATTCTGCGCAGCTTATCTATGTATTTGCTTTACCACCCCTTCATTTCTCTAGCGAACTTTTGACAAGTCAATCTTCAAGAACTATCAGCATAACCTTCTATGCAGAACTCTTGGAATTGCGCGGCAATCAAAATAGGATAAAATAAAATACAATACGAGACTCCTTTTTATAAAGAGCATGAGCTGGCATTTCCTAGAAGCTTCCATAAAAGTATATCGAGGGTGAATGCCGGTATGAAAAAACTTTACTTTCTTAACCTTAACATAGCGTCATTAATTTTCTAATTTAAGAAATCTATTCGGAACAATTGGTAAGGATATGCTAGAAAGAGGAGCTCCGCGGAAGGGTTCTGTGGGAATTGATTAATCCTGACGACATTACGGAGTAAGGCATTGCATTTTCCTTGGTCGGGCGGAGCGGAACAGATGAATACGGAGCTGGGGGCACTTTAGGAACCAACTGGATACGATTTGCTGTAAATTGTGCGAAACCACCCGAGTAAAAATGCATATGTACATCGGAATGTTCTCAAATGCCGGTACTGGTTTCCAACCATTGACTCCTGACCGTTGAATGGAGGGCAAGGAAAGACAGCCAAGCCGGTTGGCTGCATTGACCTCGAAACCCTAGCAAGTGAGGCGCAGCAGAGTATTATGTAATCTGAAACTAACAACAAATCTTTTTCGCATTCCGATTCCCGAGATTCTACTTTGTACTTTATTTTACTTCGTCTGCTGTCCTGTACTTTGGTCCCCTTTATATATATCATTCAATCCTCAAGGTTCAAGGTAAAGAGAAGCAAAGTCCACACGAATCTTCTCAGTAAGATCCGCTTCATTAATAAAAGTGAAGGTTCATAGAAAAATTCGTTTCCCTGAGGTCTAAGGCCTCCAAGTACGATTCATACGATGTCCAGCCCGACCAAAAAAAAAGCATCTCCACTTCAAACCATGCATCTTCCACGCGTCGTCACAGCTTAGCACCACAATTAGTTTCTTTACGATATAGGAAACAAATGAGCCTTTCTTGACAAAGCTTGTAAAGCTCCTTTGGAAAAACAAATGAGGCGTTGACAGGAGTTCGTCCAATCTCATCGTTGTAGTTGACATCCATTACGAATCAATGCCGTTTTCAATGTTTTATTAAGGGGGTCCTCCACTATCTCCAACATCCACTTTGGGTCTCCTCGATCTAAAAGAGGAGACTTGTCTCTCATTATCGCAAAAGCTCCGATGTGAATTTCCTTTGTCAAGTAAGATTCATGTGAGCTTAGACGAAATCATGGGTTAGTACCCGGGCATGAAGCATATCTTGATATATCGGGCCAACTATGGTCGTTGGAAAAAGTTTCCGAATATCTAGGATGTGGATATCAGATGTCGTTTGTCCTGTCGAGTGGATTTCTTATAACCCACTCTCTTGGTTCGCAGAGCTGTTTGTGGAGACCAACCGTCTTATCCGCTGCATACTTACCTCGTATCTTGTTACAAGGGCTTCCCGTGCATTTCTTTCTTATCTTGATCCTCGATGCCCTGAATTGGGATAACCTTACACACACTACTGCAAGCAACTTCCATCAACTGCTGTCGTTCATAACTTCAGGAAGGTACCTTGTGAGCGTTAAATAGATTCTACGGCGGCTTCCGCAATACCCACTTGAAACGTCAGGAAGCAAGGTCTTCCTTCCAATCGCTGGTGTACCGGTCACTGAGATGAAACGTTTACACTGGTAAGTTGGGATGAAAATTCTGTTCCTTATAGGTATTGTTCCCGTTATCGAGTGTGGTAGGGTATCTTAACAACAATCACATTTCATTCAATTTGGTTTGCAGTAATACGGCAATTTTTCGTGGGGGTTCTCGTCAAATTTATATAGCCCGAATGTAGAGGACTAAGATCATATTGCGTGGAGGGTTTGCGTTGAGGTGGGTCCAAAAGTGGCTCGCTCTCCCTTGCTGCGTTTTCTAATTTAGTAAGCTTTGTCGCGTCTTCCAACTACATACTCGAGTATCGCTGCATCAAAGAGATAGTGGAGCAGTCATCTAGAGCTCTCCTTGTACTTTCATTGTCGCAACACCATGAACCTGGATACTATACCCACTCATGTTGTCGGCGTCTGCTTAGGTGATTGCCAGATCCATACAAATACGTTGGCCTACACGGGTCTATGTATCGTTTCTGTTTTTAGACGAACGGTCGAGGATTTCTACAATACCTTGCTTGGATGGCTGATCTGCACTACTTGCAGTCCGAATCCAAGAGAAAGAATCTAGGTTTAGCTTGCTTCTCTCTTTGGAGAATAGCTGAAATGGCCATTGAATATCAGGACCTTCCACTTCAACATCCACACAAGTTGAACTATTCTGAATAGCAATTTTGATTTCTCCAGCCCGCAGCATAGACGCCTTGGGCTCCCAAGCGTTCTTTAATTGCATGAGCAATTTTATCAGCGAACATTGCCAGTAAAATCTATCATCACGATTGAAGCAACTAACTGCATCCAGCTCGATCCTTCGAACTTTATCTAGGCTCTGTCAGAGATGTCTGATAAACTTAAATACCAATAATTATCATAGCTCATGATTAATTGATTAAAATGTTTAGTTCTAGGGACTAAGAACTAAATAATATAAATGCTAAAGCATAGCCTAGATAGTACTAGCTTGAAAGGAAAAAAAGTCAGTGGGAAAGCTCCTCAAAAAACAGCTAACGTTACTAAGTAGTAGTATCTTACATATTATCTTGGCAGTGATTTGAGATCTTGAGGCATCTCAAAAGCATCTCCTCAATCAACATGTTCCCCACTGGAGCCATATTTAAACAGTATAAGTGGTTCCTTGTACAGATGTTATCCAATACTTTTCACCATTGCCAGTCAGGGTTCGAGGCTCTGACAGGGACATGTATATTTGTCACTAACATCCACTTCGTATCTCTTACTATTTTAGTCTCACAGATATCGTGCATGCGGAATCTCCATCTCTTTAAGAATCAGACGATGCCTACAAGTCTCTTATTCTTTAGGGTTCATTCGTTTTCCTCATCATATTTTTTGGTTCCTTATTAACACGGTCGATTGACCTCATTTTCATAGATATTTTCTGAACTTTGAGTCTTCTCATCTCTCTCCATTCGTTAACTCGATATTTCGTGGAAGCATAATTCGGGATGATACAATTCCCTCCCACAGCGGCTCACAGTGATAGTGATGACCGCGGAGACTTCCAATCTCTCCCTCAACCACCATCACCTACAGCAGCAAGATGGGGTGAATTTCATAACAATGAATCAGTCACCTCTTTGGACACAATTCAAAACAGTCGACCCGGCACTCTGCGATCATCATCGAACATAAACTTAATAAACAATTACAGCTCGGCGACTCTATTATCAGGCCCTTCAACACCTGGTCCAGCATACGGCCATTCATTAAACGCCTTTAATCATGGCCGCTCTTTCTCCGATACCTCATCCTACGATGGAGCAACAGCATGCCCGACACCAGCTTTACAAGATGAAAGTATCAGTTATGAAGAATTCAAGAAGGAAGATCCAGCCACCGCTAGGAAAGTCAGACATTTCAATACCTTCAATAAGCGATTTGATACTTCTGTCTATCAAATCGAAACACTGCACAAGCACGATGACGAAATATTCCTCCCTCCTTGGAAAAGGAACATGTATCGATTATCACCACTCTTCACACTTCTAGCCTGTGGTTCATACTTCCTCTACTACGCATACCGTATCATCTGTATTGTAGATGTTCAAAAGGCATATGACAAGGTATACGTCATGGCGTGGCTTTTTATTGCAGCCGAAGGTTGCGTTGCTTGTAAGTATTTGTATTTTGTCAATTCCTCCATTTCTCCGTGTTCGACGTGTGTTGTTGGAGCCGGAAAATTCCCAGCTTGCTTCACGTAGAAATCCTTCCGCTTATCACAACTCCCGAAAAATTATTTCTCCTGCCAAGTTTTGCCAAGAGATCATACACTTACGTCAAATAGGTCCCGCATTACTCCACCAACTTTACCAAATGTTATCCATTCGCGGTCGTTCACGACCAAAGCTTCGTCTTCGTGGTGAAGAGGTACCTACTGTTGATGTCTTCGTTACGTGCTGCGGCGAAGATGTAGATGTTGTTCTTGATACGACCCGAGCTGCTGCTGCTGGTGATGTAAGTGTTTAATTTCCAAATATCCCTCTTTCGATATAAATACTAATAAAAATGATAGTACCCTCAAGACCGTTTCCGCGTTGTCGTGCTCGATGATGGAAAAGACCCCGAATTAGAAAAGGCTGTCAACGAACTATCGCTCGAATATCCTAATGTCTACTATCATGCTCGTATTAAGATTAAGGGTGTTCCACATCATTTCAAAGCCGGTAATCTTACCGGTGGAACCAATTTCGTTGTCGATTTGGAAGGAGGTGAAGCCGAGTTTATTGCAGCTTTGGATGCAGACATGATTCCAGAAGCAGATTGGTTGAGGGCTATTATTGCTCATATGGTAATTGATGACAAGATGGCTCTTGTTTGTCCACCTCAGGTATGTATTTTCCTCAATATCATCATTTGGAAACATCAGAGCTAGAAACCTAACAACCCAACCAGCTTTTCTACAACGTTCCTACAAATGATCCACTTTGTCAATCCCTAGATGCTTTCGTTCACGTGATGGAACCTACCAAGGATGCCAACGGAGTGGCATGGTGTACTGGATCTGGTTATGCTATCCGCCGTGCAGCCCTCGACGATATTGGAGGCTGGCCCGTTGGTTCCCTCGCTGAAGATACCTTCACCTCATCTCTTCTGCTCGGTGCCGGTTGGAGAACCGCCTTTTGTCACGAAGCCCTACAATTCGGTACCGTCCCCGACACCATCACCGGCCATCTGAAACAACGTACACGATGGACACTCGGAACGTTGCAAACCGCACTCAAATTAAGATTCTGTCTATTTGGAGATCTAGTCAAAGGCATGAGCTTTTTTGCCCGTCTCTCCGCATTCGTCTTCGCCATCGACGCATTTTTCAAAATCTTCCTTTGCATTGCTCTCCTCACCATCCCCATCGTTCTCATCTCCGGTGGTCAACTAGTAGCCTACAACACCGAAACTCAATTGAAATGGCAAATTAGATTATGTTTCATTCAACTCGTGCTTACTCGTCTCAACGAATGGGTTACCTATATCCCCTCTGGGTATCGTTTGGCACAACGTGATTCCGGCGCTCAATTGTGGATGGCTCCTTTCCACGCCAAAACAATCATCATGTCCTTTTTGCTCCCTTCCTGGCTCGGTGGAAAACCCATGGCCTTTTCCAGTTCCGGTAGTCAGAAGAGCGATATCAATGAGCGCGATCCACATACACGCGCAGGAGTTTTCAGACGTCTCTGGGTTATTCTTTGGGATTGTCAATGCTACATGCATCTCCTCTACATTCTCTTCGTTATCGCAGCTGTCACCTACAGTACCGTCCGCGGTCTCGCTCTCGACTCTGAAAATGATACTTTGAAGAAGAAGCTCGTTTACCTCCTTACCCATGCTTTCTGGCCTCCTATGCTCTGGATGATGTGTCTCACAGCTTGTTTCGAGCCAATCCGCTATGCAATTTGGCCACCAACAATGCCAGACAGAGAAGAATTGTTGGATCGCGATGACAAGACGCAAATTGCGAGACCAAAGGAAGAGTGGAAAAAAGCGAGATACGCAAAAACGACTTTCTTCCACGAGTTTCAATATACACTTTTAACAGCATTTACATGTATGGTTTTCGTGGGGGCGTTTTTCATCGATATCTGAGATGAGATTTGGCGGGGTAGTGGGGAAAGGAACGATATGTCGATGATTTTACATGGCGTTAATTTAATATATGGGACGTGCAATGGAGCTTGATAGTTGCTTTCTAGTAATCTACTCGCTATATATCTTACTGTACATGAGGGAGTTTGGATACCGAATAATACTTAACGTATATTGTACGAACAGGATAAAGATGGGTTTAGATAGTAATACAATCTGACAATGGAATCGGACGATATTGTTGTCTTGAAGAATAAAAAATTCAATAATATCAGATCAGTAATTCAATTACCTATTTTGTTGACTTTACTGAGGTGCGTGGTATGGACTAAAGATGATTTGGTGGCTTGCTCTAAATGGATCGGCAGGGCCACCAGTTGGGGCACGGACTACCCTGACTGGAGCTGGCAATATCTCTGGGAAGATCAGATCAGATCATATCAGATCAGGTAGTTTGAAATCTGACATCGGCAATATAACATACTTTGAACAATTAAAATCTCCAATTTGGGATTAAATAATTGAAAAATAGATCAACTACAAAGATTTGAGAGTTGGGAACTGTTCTTCCGATCGATACTTGGCTCTACCGGTGCGGTGGTCTAGAAGCCTCAAATCGTACACTGCACGGATAATTCCCATTTGGAAGTTTTGCTGCAGAGGACTCGCGATGATTAATCAGACTTGGAATAGGAGTTGTGTTTCTTTCGCATTCCAGGTCTTCCGCATACAAGTTTCCTCTTTTTTAGATACCGATATTGAAGTTTTGCTTAGGCATTTATTCATTGCCAATCAATACAATACCTAGCTCAATTCATGGCCTCCCGTCATTCAGAATCGATTCAGACTACGATCGGTTTTCTGGAAATATATGCAGAATTTTCCATGCGGTTTAGTCATCATCGAATCACAATCTTAATATGGAAAAAGTACGGTAGTTTTCCTAAATGCCGGGAATTTGGAATCTTGAAGGTTAAAGTTTCCAATTTGAGTTTTGGGGAATGGGCGCAAGGGGCGTTAGCTGCTAGCGGGTGATGACAAAAGATGTGGAAGCTAGGGAGTGGGAGAGGCTAGCCGAGAATTAGACCAAGGGGTTGAATCGTGACGGTGGGGCTTAAGTTTTAATGTGCATTACATTGATGTGGAGGTGCTAGAGTGACAGTATGGAAATTTGAGTTATTGAATAGATGTGTACGTGAGAAGACGATGGTGAAACCCGGTAGGTGTGCAGGTTGGTATCTACCCTAAATAACGATACTATATATTATTGGCTGCATCCGTTCTCATCCGCCACAGAAATCAACGGTGGATAGTTAGGGAATAATGATTTGAAATGATATCAACGGCCTGTCTTGTTAATTGATCAGATGAATTGGTCAGCCAATAGGGTTGTTTGTCGGTCATTCTTTGCGGGTAAGATGGCATGTTCCGGAAAGGTAGCATTAGAGGTACATTTTTACTTTCTTGATCGACTACCACGTTTTGAACCCTTTGTTTTGCAGTTGGTTTAGTTCCATGTTTTATGACTATCTTGTAGAAACAGAATCAGCTTGATATTCAATTTATTGGATGTGATCTCCTATACGGGAAATCTGAAGAGAGTCACGTGACTGGCTCAAACAACTATCTGATGGTCGTTATTCTATCTGACTTGATTAGACCGGGCGTTCATGATGAATTGGCTGCTAATTGAACATAATACAAGTCGATTTAAATTCATCATTACTCAAATACTTTACTCCTGTACTATGTATAATACTGTATTTAGCAAGAAGTGATAATATTTTGACATTTCTAACTTCACCTATTCAACATCAACGGCAAATACCTTGGGCGCACAACTAGTTTTAACTAGAAGAACAACGAGCAGTCCAGCAAGCAAGTATACTACCAAGGGTTTAGCGTCTCTTATCAAAACTCTCATAGATCATCGATGCTAGCTATCAGAACCAGATCTCGGGAATTCATTCCCATTCATGCTTGGAAGTTCTAGATCTTAGCCATGCATGCTAAGAAAACTATCTCACGCTCTGATTTGAGTGGCCATCTAGAATCACGGGCGTACCTTATATACGCTACCTGAGAGCCCGTGGGAAGGATTAAGTTTCCCTTTCTTTCTCTCCTCCCCAGGGTGTTCGTTAATCTACTGGTCAAGGGAAAGGGGTGGGACGCACCCTCTTCCCTTAGTGTCAACGAGGGTTATGTATTATTTAAGCTAATACAATGGATATAATTTTTATATTGTCATACAACCCTACAAGACCTAATATTTGAATCCATAACCCTTACGGTATACAAACCCCTCCCACAAAAGCCTACCACGATGAGTTTCTCAATGGCGCTAAAACACGAATTTACTACCACATAGGGCAAATAGAGCAACTGGGATGATCGAAAGATGGCCACTTGACTAAGGAGTGTTTCTAGGAGATCAAAGAAACTTCATCTAATGTTATCGTGATATTTCACAATAAATGCAACTAAGCTTTGAAGGGTAACCGCTTGAGCTAAGAAGACCTTCATGTCTAGAATTGCGGGTTGTAGCTGGGGAAGTTCTATAAGATGCATTTGACTTTCAAGCAAGGCAACTCACCTATCTTCTCAACACCCCTGTTTTGGACACCTTGGGACGATTATCAAACATTTTATAAAGCATGTAACTATTCATTATATTTACCTTAGTTTAAGACTTCAACCAATCTTCTATTATATGAAAAAAGAGAAATTCCCTAAGAATCTCCTTCCTCTTTGGGTTTCTTAATCAAGTCAAATGCCCTCTGTTTGACATGTTCTATTTGTAATTGTGATACTTTTCTTACTAATGAATTCAAAGAATAATCATACCAATCTGAGTATCATATTTCTATTGCTAGCTGTCTGTTATCTATATTGGCAAACAGCCTATCCAAATCCCACTTCATGAGCTCCATCCACATACAAGATTGTGATATTTACCAGAAAGAGAGTAGCCAACTAAGCTTTAAGAACAATAGCGGCTTTCTCTTTATCGACTTCTTCAGTAGGGTCTGTTCTATGTCCTGTGGTGTAATGCGATGGTGCAAGCTTTGTCTGAGGGGAACTCTGTAGAAGGATACTCAGTCACTGTGCTTTGGTCTTGGACGCTTGTTGCCTACCAGCTGTGTACTCACTCCTGTTTATCGGTAGAATCGCACGCCTTGTAAAAGAATGCTGTTGGTTTATTTTACAATTATAGCTTCATAGCGAACTTGAGAGATACATTTTAGCAAGGTCGGATACTGATCAAGACTAGGAAAGAAGGTTGGGGACACCTCTTGCTTAGATACATGGAAGAGAACAGAGTGGGGGGCTAGGACCATAATACTAGTAGAACCATAGCAGAAGTGTTTCTGCCATTGATTCCCCTTTTTGAATGATGAGCAAAGGAGTAAAAAGGCGACACTGTATCGTTCATATGGTATGAAATTTCACCACAAAGACCTTATTGCGTAACAACACACATACATACACAATCAACTATGCGGCATCATATGAGCTTTTGAGAGATGAATATCTATTTTGAACGTTGTGTAAGATACACAGACTTACCTCTTATTGATAGATTATTTTGTTTCATCTAGATGATCTTATCTCGAGACAGGCGCTCTTCATCTTCGTTATCCAAGCAATCAGCTCAACTTTATCTCGTCTGTCTCACACCGAGAACCGTCTCTGTCATCCTGGACATTTCGTTATTAACGCTTAAGCATTAAGCTTTCCTCTTGCTACATCAGCAGCTCCTGTTATTTTGGAAATTCAACACTATAGATACCGTGATGATATAATGAGTCACCAATATATTTTATGAAGAGGAAATCGGAACGAGATCTTAGCCCTGTGTATATCTCAAAAATGGATCCTGCAGTCAAGAGGGACATGTAAAGTCCTTCCGAGGGAACACTGTACGGGAACGGGTGCAATGTTAATCCCTCCCTAATTCGGTGTCAAAGCCGAGAAGTTTACCTTCATCCTTGGTGTGCAGGTGAATATTCAATCATTTGGTTAATCCAGGGTTCCTCAAGCATCTGTTTTGCCGTTTTCTGTCTTCAGGATGCCATTGAAGTATTCTACGCATCATTTGCAAAAAGACTTCTTTGTTCTTGCCCTCAAGACGCATCTCGGACTTCTCCAAATTCATGCCTTGCGGAATAGGCACCTCTGCTATCCATTTGCCTATATTCCCTGAGAATTAGCATTTCGTTTCAAGACTACGGTTTCTCCTGGTACGCACCTTCTTTATCGAAAAATTCAGAAGCGCGTACTCCTTTCTCAAGTAGATCTAGCGGAGGAGGGCCTAGCATCCCAATAACTTCCGCTAGATGCGCGCGAGTGGAGTAGCCTTTCCCATCAGGATCTTTGCCATGGAACATATGCTTGCCCTCAAATAAATCCCATATCATAACACCTACATTCCATATATTGACAGGATAACTCCAGGCGCCTATTAAGAAATCAGCATGATCTCTCCAAAGTTTCATGCGACGAGAGCCGTTGCGAAATGTTTTGAGATATAGGCTTTTGGATAAACAAAAACGTAAGTGGAGGATCATAATGACTCTGTAGATCTGGGGTCCCGCATTGTGATTTCTTTTTAGATCACCTTGTACCGCGGAATCAAAATCGCTCAGAACAGAGTCACCGAAGAATTTTGGAGCTTTCAGCTGTCTTGAGGCATAGATTGTCACGCCATTGACCAATGTTCGTGGGGAAGGACGTTCCATTTCCGCCGCAGTGAAAGCATCAAGGATAGATTCATCTTCTATCTGGGAAAGTATATTGTCGGCTTTGATATCTGCAAAGGGATTTTAGTAACTAATTCGGTAAGAATGATACAGCAATTAAGACTTTATTTTAATTGTACTTTTCAAATGCCATAGAAGAGATGATGGGACCTCGCACCTGTATGAACGAGTTTACACTCTGTGTGCAGATAGTCTAGTGCCAGGAATAATTGTTTGAGAGCGCCTTTAAGGTGTACGTCCGTGAAAAGGCCATTTGAAATCCGATATCTAAGATCTTTGAAACTTTCCCACATCGACTTCTGTACAAGGCAAATATGGTCGCCATTAGGGCGAGGTATTGTGAAAGTTTCCAATGCAATTTTGATATGGGAATAGCCAGGATGCGAATGATTGCCCTTGCTTAATTGTTGATAGATTTTGAATTACTCTAGTGGGCCTCCATCACGAATATAAGCTTTAAGGGCAACATGCTTATGCGCTCTAATCTGTTAAATCTTCACATACGATCCTTTGTCATATGGGAAGCTCACTGAAGATCACGACCCAGCCAAACGGTAGCTGATACACCGTATCTAAGCTTTCCGAGGACTTAATATTTTGATACCAAAACGTCTCCAATATTAATCGGATAATATAAACCTTTCTTGAAGCAACCAAACTGTTCTTCTTCAAACGTTTGGGCATCATTGATTAAATCAAATTCGGTGCTAGCGAAGCGTAGGGGTGGAGATGGTGCTCTTCGGATAGCGGTATCTGCCCATTTCAGAAGGGATGCCATTATTGAAGATAAATATACGTGTTATAGGATCAGGTTTGAGTTTGGTTCGAGGAACCGATGTGAAGGAGTAATAACTGATGTGTATGAATTGAAGGGAATATTTGAAACTAGCACCCAGCCAGGTAGGTATTACCTGCCTACCCACCTTAGGTAATCACCTAGATGGCTCGACCCCACAATTAATGCCTCAAAAGATAGGCTTTACGCTTAAATTAACCTTACATTGAGATCTTAGCAAAGAAGATCTGCCCTTCTTCAAGAGCTTTGTAAAGCTGTATGGAATTATTGTATATTCCAATCAATTCGAGCTCGACTTCTCAATAGCGCTGCAATCTTTTCACCCGCATGATTTTTGACCTATTTGTGCGCGGTCGATTTGGAAGAATGATACCTGGGTATCGGCCTAATTTCGTTGATAGCAGATTCAAGGTAATATTCCTATCGACTAGTTAATGCGCAAAATGGGAAAACTGAGGGCATTCCCAATCAACTACATGTCTAGCATATGCAAGGAAGATTTCTCTAGTAGCCTGTTCCAATCACCAATAAGGTAGCATACACGTTCATTAAATTGATTGCCAAACATTATCAGCTCGTCGTCGTTTACTCCTATTTCCCGAGAAGAAGTCTTAACCTCAACCTCATCGTTGTTTTTCTCTTTGACTAGTAATCATGGCACCGTTTCCACGCGCAGTGCTATTTCAGCAAGACATGAACAAGCAGAATTATTAGAGCGTACTATGTTCCTTTGTTTTGGTAGCAATTGCATCGATTGCTATGAGACAACTATGAGTTGGATGTTTCGATTTGCATTCGTGAGAAATGAGTGCCGTAGCTTTACAGTGGTGAATGATTTCTTAGCTGATACCTATTGCACTGACGGGAATGGGAATACTGGGATCACTGATAGTAATGAAATCAGCTTTAGGGAGGGGAAGTGGTGGGAGTGGAAATTGGGTTATTTTCCTAACAAAACAACGCACTCTTGAGTTCAGAAAGCAAAAACGAAAGTTGGTTCATTCAAAGGAGTAGTACTTCAGTCAGAGTAAATCGAGGTAACTCGACAAAAGACAGCATATGTGTTGTTCATCGTGACATTTTTAAAGCATGGGGAATGAATATCGTCGTTCGTGAAAGGCGGAGACGAAACTAGTGAAGGTTACGCGAATCCCGCAATCAAAAATTTGTGGGGGAGAGATGACTTGGTTCGTGTTACAATATGTTCATTGGGTTTCTGAGAGTGTGATATGGCATAATAGGCATAAATTCATTCAAATTGTTTCTCCAATGATTGCTTCATCATGCAGATGGACAAGGAGCTACTTCCTCCATAACCGATGGATGTGTACATGTGAGTCGAAAGGTCTAACCTGATGTACATCCTCATGCCTCTAATCAAGCTCCTGAACCAGACGTTCAAGTGAAGAAACCAATCATTTTTTCATCTGAAGTTCTTCTGGATTTTCAGCAGAAGGCTCAGACTCAGTTACGTTTGTATCAAAGCCTGCCTGTTCGAGGATCTTTCGGAGTAGAGTTAGTCTGGTTGAAAAAAAGGGCGTTCAGATTTAAGAGAGCCCACCTTCATGAGATCGAGTTCGTCCACATCTCCAGATTTCTCCATCTCTACCACACGCTTTTGTAGGTCCTCTACCGTCTTCTGAAGCTGTGTAACCTGTGCCTCGAGTTTCTTGACTCGATCTTCTGGATTAGTTCCTGTCGCGAGATTGTCGATTGTGCGAAACTAATTGGAATGATATAAGCCAAATGATAAGAGGCATAAAGAGGGTTGATGCAGATGCCAAACGTACCATTGTGATGAGTTTTATCTTTTTACGCTTGTTTTTTAGATGCTTAGCGGGCTGGGGGAGAGTGTATAAGCTTGATAAAGACAGGATGAGCAAACTTATTGTATAGGCGGGGAATTTTATATATAGGTGAATGATAGCGTGAGTATAGTGTAGCATAAAGAAGTTGGGGTTTTCCTCAGAGATATACCGAATACAGAGGTCGAGTGCTATACTCGGATGTTGTTGCTAGGAGTAATCGGGGTTCGTGCTGCCAAGGTACCTAGAAACGAGGAAGCGGGATGTGATCATCATTTGTGAGAACACAAAATGATCAAATGATGGACAGCATATGCAAACCCCTCTTTGCAGTCGAGACAACAAGTCAGCCTTTGTGATAGCTGAATATATCGCCCAGGTGCACAGGTATCCATATGTAGCAAAACACACATACTCAGCTAAAGACTGACTCGAAACTGAGCAGCACCAACTTGATGTTGTGCATATCCTCTCGATAGCCATGCCCCACAGGCGTTTGATTGGAAGCTAAATTATGCAAGTTGATTGCCAAACATCATTTTGAGCGAACGTGGCTGCAGAAAACAAATTCTACCAGCTGAAGCGCTAGCGATGCAGCGATGCTCAAGTAGCAAACAGCTGATTGTGGAACTAGAAGTTCACTGACTCAGAGCCGGAATCCAGGATACACCGGAGAAACTCTCTTTATTCATCGATTTTTTGTATGTGTTCATCGGATTTGTCGCCTATATTGGTATACCAAACACTTTTTCGACGATTCCGGTATACTTTTAGTGTTAAAATTGTTCGAGAAAGGCCGAATATTGGCTATCACGTGACAACCCGAGAGAGAATTTTATCATTCCGATATAGTTATCTTGATATTATATTAGAAATCGGTCCCTTAACATTTGAATAGCACTATACTAACATCAATACGATCTAATGACATAACATTGCTGTCACGGATCGGACCCAACCACAATGTGATCACGTGTACGTAGCTTGTATAGATGTGCGCTCTACAAGCGCTAGGCTCCCAATTCTGTAGTTGTAGATTCTAAGGTTAAATTGTACCCTACTCTCGCAGTTCTTCTAAGGCGAAGTGTCACAACACCGAGTCGTAAAAATCCTGAACATTGGATTTTGTAGGCTGTAGTTACGATGCCAAGTTGATCACCATGCTTCCGTTTCCGTTAACCTGACTTCGAGTGTGTTCAAAGTATGTTACACTGACTGACTGAACCGCTTGATATTCAGCTTAGCCTTCTACGAGAAGTCAGCTGAACTCAGTCGACGTGGACAACTATTCAGGATCCGCATGCAGATATCCTGATTGAAACGTGATAATGAAACACTTTACTTTGCTCTACATTAATCTCTCATCGAAATAATGCAGGATCAGGTAGAAACAACAGCATCCACGCCGATCAACTAAGGCGGGGAAACATCTGTGGAACCTCATAGTAGCTGGTGACATGATCTGATACCCGAATGTTGCAGAATTCGGAATAATCAGTATCGACGGCATATTGTGTAGAGCGCCACTCGGTATTAGGCACGAGAACAGTGCCAGTTGTAGCATGAACCTTGGTCGAGTTGAATGCCACAGTCAGTCGTGGTTTCTTATATCGTAAACATTTCCTGTCAAAACGGATATACTGCATCTGAACTGCTAACTACACATTCTCCCTTAACTTCCCTTCTACTACACATCTCTTCTACCTTCAATCAAGACACAAAATGGCAGCAGCACCTCGTGAAGGTATAGCATGGTTTTTGAAAGAAAGTCTTAAAAGCCCAGGCTATAATGGCGAGAAGTCGGAAGACTTCTATTCGTGGATGCTTCTCGAAGTCGTTTACAACGCGACAGAAGACGAAGCATACGCGTTTCCCCCGCCATTAGCGTACCCCAATCACCCAAGAACCGAACAACAAGTCTTTCCGGGTGGTGCTTACAGGACCGGGTACGGCCGCTATGAATTTATGACCGCGTCAGTACAATACGCTGACCAAGCGCTTTCTCAATGCCTAATTGTATTCCCCAATTTCAACCTCCGTTATTCATTTGCTGGATGAGGAAAATTTATGCTTCTTTTGCTTCCCAAAACGTCTCTTCTCATTTTCTTTCAAAATCATGCTTCAATAGGCAATACTGACTTCCCGATCTTCCAGAATGTACGGCCCTAGCGCCGAGGACATCAAGCGCACATATCGCCTCAAATGCAATATCAGTCGTGGTCAGCTGTGGCGTCAAACAGGCTCTGCTGCTGTTTGCTACGTCGCAGTTCCTCGACCAACTAAAGAGGAACGCTTCTTCTGGGTCGATCTGACATACCCTATCAGGGCCATTTACATTCCCTGCGCTTTTACTGCTCATCCCCAGTACAAGGGACATGCAATTTTCTCGCGTCTCGATGTCCGTGGTCGCAAGGGGATACCACAAGCATATGTTATCAAAGATCATAACCAGAATTTGATCACCCAAGCCCAGAAAGCTATAAATGACTGGAACAACGCAGATGTGTATCACAACTGGGCCTGGGGTAAAAAAATGAACAGACTCAAGGCAGTGCACCGAAAGATATCGAATAGAGCCAAGGAAACCGGACCCGAAGGCCCTCCAATACAGGAGCCTGGACTCATACCTGGCTTTGTTAAGGCTGATGGAAAGGCACCAAGTCAGATTTATGCTAAGGCCAGCTATGCCCAAGACACGGTGGCAGATGAGACAACAGGATTGGGGATGCGGCCTCAATGGACACTTCGAATTGATGTTTTCAAGTTTGCATGCCAGCTTTTGGTTCCATATAAAGATCGTACCGAAGAGTACAGGGATTTATATGCTTGCTTTGCCCTATTCGACAGGCGTTGTGTCCATGGATCAAAAGTTATCGCGGATATTGACATGGCTCAATCCATCGATTGGGCCAAAGCACAGGGGAAAGAGGCCGGCCTCAAGATACAATACGTGACGGAAGAGCCGGATGAAAAGTTTATCAAAGATCTCTTTGTTGGCTTCATCGCCGTGGGACTGGGCTTCATCCCAGTCATTGGACCCCTTGTGGCGTTTGGCTTCACTGTCACATACGAGCTATTGGAAGATTCGGAAAAGTTCACAAAGGCTGCAGGGATTGGCGGTAAAACACCGGCCTTTACACAGGCGTGTGTTGATTCTCGTGAGGGATTGAAACCTATATTGAAGGCGGGTTTCAAGGCTGTATTCAAGGGGCATTTGCAAGCCGCTCCTAAAAAAAGTATTCAAGTCGATACTGGCGAAGAGAAAGTCGAGAATGGCGATAAAGAAGATACATTCCATCTTGTCATTGAAGCGGGAGAAGCAGAAGTGCTTCAAGCTCGTGGAAATTTTGTTGCTTAGCTTTTGGATTTGGATTGGGAGGGGACTAGGATTTTTACTGAATCTGGATACGTACTTGAAATACTATACTTGAAAAACCATTGAGACTGGACGATAGTAACCGCAAGGCACATGAAAGATGGTGTAGTGACAGCGAATGAGGTCAAGTCTGCCTGTCGAGTTAGGCTTTCATCACAATTATTTAAGTTGGAACTACTCTAGTTTCGCCGCAGAAATCCGCTAGGATCACAGTTTGTCTCGACGGTTGAATAGATGGTATGGCTGTGGCCGTCATTATCTAGACAAGTGCGTGAATAATTTTATGTCTGTTCTAGCATGTAAACGGTGGAATTGAGCATAGATTCTGTTAATATGAGACAACTTTGTCGTACTATTAAGGTTGATCCGCCGTCTGACATTGCCTCGAGCGGGTAGATCCGAGTATCAACATCAAATTATCACGCAAAGGCAAGATTTGAGACTTCCCAGAGGTTGACGATATTTTGCCCCCAACTGCGCGTGTTGATCATCTTGAATTCTTCTGCTTGATAAGCCCAAGAAGCGACTCCACCTCTCAACATAGACATAGAGTGGTGTTGCAGAGTAGTATATTGATTCTGCATGATCATGAAACCCGTGCCTTGCTTGTCAGACGGTCTTTGAATTTAACACAAAACCACATTAAAATAACAAAATCCAACCTGCATAACTAGAGATCCGAAAGCTTAATTCTCAGATCAAATTAGGTAACTGTTCCACAGAGGACTTTCTCTTGGTAATGCCAAAATGCGGCAACGAGGTTATATTCCCTTGTATGAAGAGCTTCTCGGGTGGTCTGAATCCCGGAACACGTTCTTAGGAATGAAGGATGATGAAAAGATATTATCCGGCATAATCACTAACTGGATATTTCAAAATTATATATTGCGCGGCTAGACCTCGCTGGGCTCACAATAGAAGGAAGGGGCTATACTTATATCTTCGCCATTAATGTCGTTGAGCCGAGATCATGGGAGTCAGGAGTTCACGGTAAAGCCAATTGAGAGCCACAAAGAGCCCTGTGGACTAAGAAAAATTATGCTGAATCCATTAAGTACCGACACACGTTCCACCGAAAATAGCTAAATTATTTCCTTGTGAATCTTTTTCCAAAATGAGATGAAGCTCTTGCTTCCGATGTATCATATCCTACAAGCGATGTGAGATCGCGCCAGACCGGTGACCGACACCGAGTAGCTATGCCGAAATCAATCGATCCATGAATAACAGTGTATGATATTTTTTCTCGGCAATGATGCTATCCCAATTGATATCCCAAAACAAACTAAACTCCTACCGTAAGTCAATAAATCAAAATCCATATGATGCGAGTATTATCGCATGACCATCCCCAATTCCCAAAACTTCCTTCATTCATACATGATCATTATCGCAACCAACCGATCTAGCGGTGTCTGTATTGCTCTCTTCAATGTCTTCCTCCAATCTCTTCATATGCAGGCGGCGGATCTTGTGTTTCGCCCGGAATTGTAAGTTCATCTTCTCCCGGAACCGCAATCCTAACTCTCGAGGTATTCGCTCTTGGAATCTCATATACATCGCCCGGCGCAGATGATGAGCGGCCCCGAGTGGGCGCACCAGGCCTCAGCATAGACTCGGGTAGCTTCTCGGGCGGGTAAGCATATGGTTCATTCGCGAATGTTGGGTGAAGAGGCTGTTGTGATGTTGGATAAGGCGGATAATGAGGTTGCGAATGATGGTTGAAAGGAGGAGAGGTAGTGATGATAGGCGGGCTATTCATACGTTGTTGAGGAGGTGGTGGAGGAACCCATCGCGTTGAGGATGCGCCAACGGGTGAATGCGCATGTTGTCGCATCTGCGTTTCTGGATGCGGCGCATAATATCCTTTTCGTGGTGGCGAACTGGTATATCTCAGATCCTCTCTACTTCTCCTCTTATCATCTCTTCGATTACCCCGCTCCCTTTTGTCATATGTATATTTTCTTTCTGGCGAATCTCTTCGTCTGGGTCTGCGCTCCTTACTTCTTTCTCTCCCTCTATCCCCACTCGCATCCCTATCATAAGCGCGATCGTGCTCCCGGTCGTGAGATTGTCTCCGTCTTCGATGTCCCGGACCGGCACGATCAGGAGAATAAATGCGATAAGACTGCTCGTCGAGGTCCAAAGCTTCAATCTCGAGGCGCTGCTTCTCCTCTTTGTGTTTGAGATGTTGTTTTAGAAGGTAGCCTGCTGCGAGGATTTCAAGGCCGCCGAGGATGACCATACTGACACTGTTTATCTATATCTCTTCGAAAGATAGATCTCGATTCTATGTGCGCATTATCTCTTTGTGCCTTGCTTGGTTAATGTGAAGAGTAGTTCGTCCTCAGAAAACGTTGTTGATATAACACGAAGGAGTGAATGATAATTGAGTCACAAATAAAAAACATGATCGCAATATCCAGTCAGCTGCCGGGAGCCGCTCACCTCAGCTCAGCTGATGGATATTTCGAGGATTAACCTTTCTGTTACACGAGAATTTTCGTCCCAACTTCCAACTCCATACCAAGACGGGAACATGGCACAATCGAAATCGGCTTGTGGCTGCCGATAGAGGCTGTGCGTGCTTCATTACATCATAAATGCCAAGTCAATCATGTGACACGGAAAATTGTTCTTACTACCGGCCTTGCCGGAATAGATTTGATCCTTGGAGAATCTGATGATACTGGTGCGATGCAATGCGGCAAGTCAACAACAAGTCTGCGACACATGTCAGATCAACAACTTTAATGGTTGCCAAATACATTACATACCTCTTTGAATTCGTTGACATGACTCTGTTAAGCCATCCCCATTCTGTTTGATCCTTTGAACCGAGCTTCCTGTTAGATCTACTCGGTCCAAGATCACAACTCTGATGATCAGTTAAGGCAAGTGGTACATTATATCATCACTCCTTGATTCATCCTCATCGGAACAATATATATCATAATTTCTGTAGCCGAGATGCTACTTAAGGTCTTGGTACCTGTTGTGCCTGTCGGGGTATATCAACTTATCACACCCCGAACAATATATACATTGCCGCTCGGTTGAAAGTTCGCCGAGTTATGTCAAATGTTAGCACAAAAAAGCTTTGAAAAATCTTCTATCTAAGATCATCATTTGAACAATGCAATTAGCCAAAAAACAAAACCGTTGTGCTATCTCCACTATGGGTTCGGATCTCGAGAAATCCACAATGATTGTCTTTCTGATTGCTGGAAATCTAATATCTTCCGAGCCGTCGGATTGCGGGGTGCGTCGGCAAGAACATCACCCCTGGATCACAAGCTTTATTTACTAAATGATGCTATTTTCAAATTGTTATATAAGAAATAAGTTGTACTATGTGATTGATGTTTAGTTTGCTCACACAAAGTGAAATCATGAGGTTACTAAACATCTTCACAACGTTGTGTCTCCTACTGTGGGGTGGAGCTGCTACAAATGATGGATTGACCGATGTTGTAGAATGGGATCCATATAGTCTGACAGTCAATGGTTCTAGAGTGTTCATATTGTGAGATTTTTCAAGGTTATTAATCAATTTTTGCTAACTGCCAGTCAAGCTCTGCCGAGTTTCATTATCAACGGATGCCCGTTCCCGAACTATGGCTCGTACGTTTCTTTTCCCCTCAAATTTTACAGAGATCTTACGCTGGTCTAGGATATCTTCCAAAAGTTTCGAGCAAATGGTTTCAACACAATTAGGTAGGATCAATGTTGCTCAACCTGAATTTTCTAACTAGTGTAGTGTATATTTTTTCTGGTCTTATCACGAGGCCTCAAAAGGAAAATTTGACTTTGAAACATCAGGCAAGAATGTTCAAAGAGTTCTTGATTATGCAAAGGAAGCAGGAATCTGGGTCATTGCTCGAGCCGGGTAAGTTCATTTGGTTCACCAATTAAAATTCTCATTTCCAATGCTCAAATCAACACGCGCTTTAACTCCTCGTATTTCTGATTTACCTTCATATCTATCAATAAGAGGTATTTACTGACTCCCCGTTAATACAGACCATATTGCAACGCTGAGACCAATGGTGGAGGTTTCGCGTTATGGGGTTCCGATGGAAGTCTGGGGACGTTAAGAAGCAACAATGCTGTATATTATCAATCCTGGCTTCCATGGATCACGGAGATTGGAGCGATTCTAGCAAAGAATCAAATCACTAACGGAGGAGTAAGATTCATCGCATGTGTTAAAGAAGATCAACGTGTGCTAACTCCCAAGATAGCCTGTGATCCTCAACCAGGTTGAGAATGAACTTCAAGAGACAACTCACTCAGCGACTAACTCTTTGGTTCTTTATATGGAGCAAATTGAAGCTGCGTTTCGTGATGCTGGCATTACTGTTCCTCTTAGTCATAATGAGAAGGGTCAGAGAAGCATGTCATGGAGTACCGATTATCAAAATGTTGGTGGCGCTGTGAATGTTTATGGCTTAGATTCGTGTAAGTACATTACATTGCTGATGCTCAATATTTTTCTGGCTCTTGTTCTCTCTTCTCTTCCTGCGAATTAGCTGACACAATGATAATGTAGACCCCGGTGGATTGTCATGTACTAACCCTGCCTCTGGTTTTAATCTTGTTCGCAATTATTATCAATGGTTCTCAAATTACTCTTACACACAACCAAATTACTTTCCAGAGTTTGAGAGTGGTTACTTTACTCCATGGGGTGGTAGCTTTTATGATGATTGTCAATCTGAACTTTCGCCTGCTTTTGCAGACGTCTATTACAAGAACAACATTGGGCAAAGAACGACTCTTATGAGCTTATATATGGCTTGGGGTGGTACAAATTGGGGACATTGTGAGTGGGTCTTGCCAACCAAAATAAATTGACTCTAACAATCTGAATAGCTGCAGCTCCAGTGGTGTACAGCTCTTACGACTACGCAGCTCCTCTTCGGGAAACTCGTCAAATTCGAGACAAACTTTCCCAGACCAAACTTATTGGGCTTTTCACCAGAGTTTCTACTGATCTGCTCAAGACAGATATGATCGGTAATGGTACTGGATATAGTGTACGTATCTCATTGTATAGACAGACATACACAGAAACAAAACTGATCAATGATAGGTATCTTCAACTGGTATTTGGTCATGGGTTTTGCGAAACCCTGACACTCAAGCCGGATTCACAACAGTTCAGCAAGCGACCTCCAGCTCAACAGCATCAGTAACATTTGATGTATATCTAAATACCTCCTTGGGTGCTGTGACTGCTTCTAATGTTAATCTAAATGGTCGCCAAAGCAAAATCCTCGTCACAGATTATACATTCGGAAAGCATACACTTCTATTTGCATCTGCGGATATCCTTACATATGGTGTATTCGATGTTGACGTTTTAGTTTTATATCTCGAAGAAGGACAAGTTGGCCAATTCGCTTTCAAAACTACCAAAAAATTGACCTATCAAGTTTATGGAAATTCCGTTTTCGCTGCAAACTCCACATCCAACTATACCTCGAGCTCACAAACATTTACATATACCCAAGGATCTGGTCAAACAGTAGTCAAATTCTCTGACGGAGCTTTAGTATATTTACTCGATCAACCCTCAGCATGGAAATTTTGGGCTCCAGCAACAACATCAAATCCTCATGTCAAGCCAGATGAACAAATATTTGTTCTAGGACCATACCTCGTACGAAATGCAACCACATCTTTCGGAGTGGTTAACATTTCTGGTGATGTCGACAAAACCACGAATATTGAAGTCTTTTCCGGAAATGAATTGATTGAGATTATTGTATGGAATGGTTTCCCATTATTCACAACAAAGACGAAATATGGTTCATACATCGCAAAACTTCCTGGTACTGAAGGTAGAATTGTTTCCCTGCCAGAATTAACCAATTGGGAATCTGCAAATTCTCTTCCAGAAAAAGAAACCTCCTACGATGATTCAAAATGGACTGTTTGTAACAAAACAACTACATTAAGTCCAATTGCACCAGCCACTCTCCCTGTCTTATTTTCAAGTGACTATGGATACTACACTGGACCTAAAATCTACCGTGGATATTTTGACGGCTCCAATTACACATCGATCAATATCACCGCATCAGGAGGTTTAGCATTTGGATGGTCTGCCTGGTTGAACGGTGTTTTGATCGGTGGAAACACTGGTAATACGACTGCAACAACTACCACTGCCATCCTCGATCTCTCAGCCCACACTTCTATTATTAAACTCACCAACAATCTTATCACGGTTGTAGTAGACTATCACGGACACGACGAAACATCCACAGCGAAAGGAGTCGAAAATCCCCGTGGTATCCTCGGCGCATCTCTCCTGCCAAAGCCAAGTAATTCCACCGGTTTCAAACTTTGGAAAATACAAGGAAATGCAGGAGGTAGTGCAAATATTGATGCAGTGCGTGGTCCCATGAATGAGGGTGGTTTCTATGGCGAGAGACTCGGATGGCATTTACCTTCTTCTCCTTCTTTATCCTCCAAATCTACCCCTTTGGTTGGTCTAAATACTTCGGGAATCTCATGGTATTCTACAACTTTCAATTTGGCGCTCGATGCAGACCTTGATGTTCCGCTCGGAATTAAGTTTTCCGCGCCAGCGGGCACTGTTGCGAGAGTCATGTTTTGGATCAATGGATACCAATACGGAAAATATGTACCACATATTGGACCGCAAACCGTCTTCCCTATTCCACCAGGAATCATCAACAATCGAGGAAAGAACAAGCTGGCGATTAGTTTGTGGGCGATGCAAGATGAGGGGCAAAGTTGGATAGTGTTGAGTTGGTTAGTTATGGGGTTTATGAAAGTGGATTTGGGTTTAGTAGGGATTGGAGTTATCTGCAGCCAGCGTATAGCAGCGAGAGGTTGCAGTATGCTTAAGGTGAGGGGATTTAGGGAAGGAGATGTATGGATGGGGTTGGGAATGGCAATGAGAGAGATGTCATTTGGAATATTTTTCTAGGATAATAAATTGCTGTCCAATTCATTCAGCCCCATCCTTTTATTCTTTTCTTTACTATACTTCTCATCAGGAACACACACTTTAAACCTCCGCCCCCATCTCTTCCTCTTTTCGATTACTATATGACATACAATTCACATCGCCTCATCTCCCACCAAAAAAATCCCTAACAGAGTGAATCATCCCGGCAAGTATGAAAATAAGTACCCAGGTATCTATATCTCCAACCGCATAAGCACTTTCAGTCCATACATATACACTGAGTGATGACGAAAAAATCATGAAACAATCGTAGAAGAATCACAGAAAAATCATACAATCGCAAGACAAATTAGCTATGTATATTAATCATTCATACCTCTAATCTTGATCGGAAGACTTGCCCTCTTTTCGTGTCTTACTATTTTTCGCCTTCCTGCTTTTTCTTCTCTTTGTAATTCAATCGATAGATTTTGAAATAAAGAAAAAAAAAAGTAGACAACCCTTTCATTGGAATTGGAATCTCCAATGAGATCTGATCTATTGATTATTCATCATCGTTCTGAAACTCCGTATCATCATCAACTCCCTCCCCGATACTCGACCCTTCCTTCCTCTTCTCAAACTCCCCTACCAGCTCCTTACTCACTACGCTCCACTCCATCCACTCAGGTCTTGAGTTTTTCTCCCACTTTACCAATTAGTTTCTTTCTTTTTCTTTTTCCCTTTTCCCCCATTATCCTCTTCCCACACGATCCTCTTCATTCTCCCCTCCCCTTCCCCCCTCCCACTTGTCTTATTCCTCCTTTGCACCTTCTCTACAACACTATTCATCTCACTCATTGCCCACAACGTATAAGCCCATAGATCTTCCCACCCAGTTGAATAGCATTTTGGGGATATTATTGTAGAGACGGATGGAGAGAGCGAGGACGGATTTGAAGGGGTAGAGTTTTTTTGTTGTTCTAATTTTCGAGGATTTCGGTTTCGAGTTCCAGAGGTTCGTATTGGGGTTCGACTTCGATTTCGATTCTGGGATTGGAGCCGAGGGTGGATATGGATGTAGATGTAGGTCTGTATATTCGTCTCGATTGGGAAAGACGTGCCGTACCACCCACCTCGGGAATTCCGTCAGTGCAGAAAAGAAATGTGATGCTAGAGGTGGAAGTAAGTAAATCAGATTTCGCGATGCGAGGGTATTTCATATTCATTACTTGCTTGTATCTTCCCTTCAACCATATCTCTCTAAAAAAAAATATCCACATCCCCCTGATTTTCCAATCCCAATCCCCCATCCTCAAGTCTTTCGCCAGAAACTGAATCAAGTAATGCTCCCTATCGATCTCCTATTTCCATCTTCTTGTACTTTTGATATCCTGGAAATAGTCGCTATTATTTTCTCTCGATACCGTCTTTCTGGGGATCGATCTTCTAGATTTCAGATACTCTATTGGGATCCTGGAGCTTGTGGCGGTTTTAATGGTAGTTTGAGAATGGGTAAGTTCTTCTCGCTCAGGGACTTCGAAATCGAAATCTGTATCCTTATGCTGCAAATCCCCTTCCTCCTCAATGTCTTTATCATCCACTGCGCCGACAAAAGAAGACACACGCGAACCAAAAGATACCTCACCTCTCTCCCTTTCCTTGCAAATCTCAAACTCACAATCATTTTCTTCTCTCCTTAACTTCTTCCCACGTACTCCCATACCCATGCCCCTAGATTTTATATCCCCACCCTCTTCCCGCGCACCATCGTCGCATCGACCTTTCGCCTCTAACATCTCACAAACTCCCCCTCTCTTTCTCGCTGCAACCACACCCGCACCCACAACTGCAGGAAGATCCTCGCCCACGCTCATACCATCCTCCGAACTATACTCTTCGCCCGAAATACGATCACAAATCGATGTTCCCGTATCAATATATCGAGCTCTCTCCGTTCTCCCCCTTCCATCACTACCACTCCTATCGAAATCGTGCGATGTGAATGATTGACCCTCTAGAGAAACCTTCTCCTCATCTTGAAGAACTGCCGATTTCTCTCTAAATCTCTCACCAAAAGTTCCTTTCCGCGTGATTCTCGCTGTTGATGTAATTCTCCTCTTCGGATTTGAATATTTCTCCTTCTCTTTCTCTCTTTCCCTCTTCTCTTCACCCCAACTCCATTCCCTCGAGCCCTCGTCATCATAACCCCTCATCTTCTCATCCTCATCCCCATATTTTTCTTCTTCCCCTCTCTCTTTCCCTCCCTCTTCCCCTCCCACACCCTCATCTACAAAACCCCTACCCCCATCCTTCCATCCCCTATATCTTCCGAAATCTTCTCCATTTTTCTAA